TACCTTTCAGTCACCATTCAGTGGACACATTTCAGTTATCTTTCAGTGACCTTTCAGTCGACTTTCAGTGACCTTTCCGTCGTCTTTCAATAACCTTTCCGTTATCTTTTAGCACACATTTTAGTATCAATTCAGCGATTTCTTTCACCGGCTTATTAATTTATAATCAGTAGTTTTTCCTTAAAAATATTTTGCATAAATTTATCATCCAATCTTTACTGTGTGTTTTTGTTTTCCTATCGTAATAAAGGTACCTTAAACTGGTTATCATAGTTAGATGTTCGATTGTATTTCAATTAAGTGTTTACCAAATGTTAAAAGACATACATGTATATGGCATATTTTTGATACGTTCGGACTAACTAAAATAAAAAGGATATTTTATTTCTTGTGATACTTTTTAGATAACGAAAAGACTTTCCTGTACATTATACAATTAAAATAAATCACGTTTCATAGATATCCAAGATTTAAAATAAAAACCGATTTATTTTTGACTCGGGATTTAATATCACACACTGTTTAATGTCAATTTAACCATAGAAACGAGGGGACATTTAATGTCAAATTCGGCGAAAAATTTAATTTAACGTATAGATATAGCAAATATCATGTAAATCTACACTTGATCTGGTATTTTTCTTTTTAGGTCAGATGTCATATAATCCCTGGTATAGCTTTAAATTGCGATTATAGACTTTCAAAATATGTCTTAACAATCGTTTATTTATATGCTACTAAATAAATGATATCAGTTCAACTGAACTCGTAAAATTCAAAAAATGTGGACTCATAAAATTTAAAATTATATTTAATTTTCTAGTAGATTTAAAAAACAAAAAAAAATCTTCAAATGATAAAAAATATAGATCCGATTCTCGAATCAAAATTCAATTATATGTCGTATAAGTGTTTCTTTTTTCTTTCTGTAAATCTCTAATTCGGTAATAAATATTAATTTAATGAGCTATTAAATTAATTAGAAATCAATCTGAAAAAAAAAATTGGAGGCTTTCGATCATAATGCGATCTTAAAGAAAGACAAAGAAAATGTTGTCTCTTTCTTATCTGCTTTCTCAGCCGCATGATGACGTAATATGTGACGTACGGCATTCCATAGTAAAACGACCTTTGGTTCCGTAACGTAAATTTCATAACTGTTGTCATCAAAGTTTGACTTTATCACGGAAATATATTTTCAAGAAAAAAAAGGAATGATAAAAATTAAAGTTAAATGGTATTTTCCGATTCTGTGACGAATACGAAACCGACAAGCCAAATAAGCCAGGTTCTACTTGCACTTAAGCTTCCTGTTACAGGTACAAAAAAAACGATTGAGGGAAAGAACCTCGTGTGGATTGTTCCAGACTTGTCTTTTTGCTGATTGCGCTCTAATTCATAAAACAAAGGTAAAAATGAATGCTTTTTAAATCGTTTGCCATATTTTGTGCTTGTAATGCACTTATTTATTGATATTCAATTTGCAACGAAAATTTTCAGAGTAAATTCGTCATCTTGTTTTTAATTCAGGTTCTACATGTTCGTAACACGGCACATCCAATTGAGCGACACCTATTTGAAGACTTTACAAAGTCTTGTGTAAGTAATATAAAAAGTGATGGTATAAGCCTTTCTAGCTCTTTATGGCAATTGTTTTGCTGAAAATTTCATTTTTCCATCAGATGTTAACAATATTTAAAAAGTGATTTTTATTTTAACTGTGTGCATAATTTTGACACATGTGTGGAGACTTGTAAACACAAAATATTTTTGGATATAGGTCCTACTAAAGATCAATCTTATAGGGGATTGATATGAGGGCTATGCCAAGAAATAAATAAATAGATAACTCTTGTATTTGATGTTTTCACTTTTCAGGTATTCTGATCATTCTATGCAGATTTAAAAACAAATCATCTTTTCAGTATTTTATTACAATGTCTGTTAGATCCTTTGTCATCAAATTAGAATATCACAATTAAAATTAAATATTTTATTTCATTTGAATACAATAGCAATCCAATTTATAGACTAGGTCAATAACACACTGTTTTATATTATATATCTGACACATGCCTCTATAATGCAGTTATGAAAGTACTAAACACAGGGTCTTTTGTTTAAAACATATTATATTGTACATGCAGTACCATCAAAACGAACTTAGTCAAAATTCGAACAATATATGTAGAGAGACAATTTTTTTTCCTTCACTTTTGGTATTTTTTTGGGTCTACAGTTTGAATTTTTGACTCATGTACTAGGAGTATCATAACTTTAGCAGAATTGTGCCACTGAATTAAAGGGAACTCTTTCTTTAGGTGCACATGACGCAAAGTCCTGGATGGTGTGTAGGCTGTTTGTCAACATCTGAAGGTCCCACATGTATTTCAAGGTAAGTATGTTTACTCTTACTTTTCTTTCTTAAAAGGTGCATAAGGCATATTTTGTCTGATTTTAAAGTTTTGTCTCAGCATTTTTTTTTTTTTGGAATTATTTTTTTATTTCATAAATTAGACCATGCCAAGTTTTTTCTCTGTTTAGCGTCCACCCATCTTTCAAAAAACCTAGCTACCTATTAGCAAAAAACACAGAAGTAAAATAAAATGAAACTCATATTTTATACTAATAAGAATGACGTAATTCAAAACATATGATTTCATTTATCTATTTTTTGTAAAGAAAGTTATTTTCTTCAGCAAAATCAAGGTATTAAATAACTTTTCCAATAATGATTTAAATATTATACAAATGTTTTGAGATATTGCCGGAAATCACAAACTTTGGCCTGAATAATTAATTTTCAGACTCCAGATTCTGTTTGTTTTTCTGACATGGGGTGTCAAAAACCAAGGCGCAAGCGGACGCTAAACAAAGAAAAAAACTTGGAATGGCCTTATTTGTTGAGAGCCTAGTTAATTGATTAATCAGATATACAGTAACACATACTATTGAAATCATCTCCTTGTGTGAGACCTAAAGATATAAAAATTGACAAAACATGGACCTTTCAAATGATATCATTGTATTTATTTTATTTCATGTCATCCTAATTTAGGAATTAGTTCCAATTGACCTAAACATTTTGAATATTAGTATAGGAAGATATGATTTTATAATAAAATTTCTTTGTAGGAAATGCTTGTCAGGACCCTAACTGAAAAAGACTGAAAAACTGCCTTTCAAAACAGACATCACTCATGTCAATGGATGAACAAGAAACATCAGACAATATTCCATTAGAATAATCAGAGACTGTCAATTTTTATCACTCACTGTGCCAAAAACACCTAAATAAACATTGAAATGTTAAATTTACTTGTTCTTTGCTTTTCTAATGATCTATGAATATCGCAAACTATTTATGCGAATTTCACACAATTCATACATGAAAAACTTATAAATTTAAATTCGCATGTATATCATGCGAATTTATCTTAACATGAAAATCGCATGAATTTCTCATAAATATCGTATGAGGACATTCGCAAAGATTCGCATGTGTGATTTCTTTGCACGATTTTTGTATGATTTATGCATGAATTTCATGCAAAAAGCAAATCGCATAAAAATTAAATCGCATAAAAATTATGCTAGCCAATTTTCCCTGTGTACGTATGAAAAATTTCTAAAACGAGGTAAATTATTGACAAGCAAGTTGATAAAACAAGAATATCAGCAGTTTCGTTTTGAGTCATCATTTCGTAAGTTCTATGGTCGTAAGTTCTATGTCAGCAAATACAATTTATCACTGAGTCAATTGCTGAAGGGCTTTTTTCATACCAATTGTTAGTCATTTATTTATACACTGAATAGACGACGGATTTTCTCCGTAATTTCCTGATTATTACAAGGAGCACATGGCGGGTGTGACCGATCGGCAGGGGATGCTCACTCATCCATGGCACCTTATCCCATGTCTGATGTTTCGGGGGTCCGTGTTTGCTCTGCTCTTATTTTGTATTGTTTTATGGACTGTTATGGACTTTGAGATTGAATACTGTTCGTTATCTCAATATACTTATATTAAAGTAAGACTGTGCAAAGATTGGTAAATTGCATGTCAACATAATAACTGCAATCAAGGGGTAATAATCTTGCACGGTGACAAACTATTCTCTCGTGTTGACATAATTGCATTGTAAATACTAAGAAAGCAGTATTTGGTACCAGTTATGTTAAATGAAACTAAATATTACAATAATTATTGCAGAAATCAGGCTGAAAAAATTCCTTGTAGTGTTTTATGGACTTTGATATTGAATACTATTCGTTATCTCCATGTCCCTCATTCATTAAGGGAGTTTTCAATGGAAGCCTAAATACCTAGATAGTAGGCTGTTAGAAAGTAATGACGACGATCATACAATAAAAGCTAAAGAATATTTATTTTCCAATCTTTGTGAGTATATAACAAGGGTTGTTGTCAGTGATTAAAGAAAATCTTATTCTATTTACAAATGGTGTATTAAAGTCTTATTTGCTCAAAAACTGATGATAATGAGAATGAAAAAACTATTATTGTTTACTGTTAAAAAAAACTTTGTCATTATATATTAATTCCGTTTCGTTTCGATAGCAATGTAACTATGAGGTCAAAACTTTTCGACTTGAGATGTCGAAATCATACTTGAATGCTAGCAAAATGAAGTCATTGATATTTCTTCGAAATATCAGTGAAAATACTTTTTAAAATAATTTTATTGCTCTTGGACACGATGTATTAGATTTATACAATTTTATAAACCGCATGCATTTGGGATTTACCTCTTCAGTGTTTTCTTAAATGTCAGAAACAATTCGCTTATGATTGTTTTGGTGTGATAAAACAGTTATGGAATAGGAATGCGGGGAATATGAAATTTATGGTTCCCCCTGCAGAATACTTTTTCAGTCGGTAGTTTGTCTTTTTGTTCTCTGTTGTAGAAATACAGTGACTCTCTTACATCCTGGGAAATACAAAAACATCACTAGTTCAGACATATGTATATGTTGCAATTTATTTTGGACAGAAAGGGCAGGATTTAAACAGAAAAAAGCCTTTCTTCTGAAGAAAAAGTAATCTATAGATTTTCGAAAAGTTCATTATCCGTTTGCCATAGCCATTGACCGCTTATTTTCTTGCCAATTTTTTTTCTTCAAAGTATCCATATGTCATCCCTTAGTTGTACATTTCCTTCTACACCAACTGAAAAAGTAAAACAACTTCTAGAGCAGAGCAAAGCAAAGAGAAAAATGACGTCAACGAAAGAAAATAATGGATTAAGACGTTTTCAGTGACTTTAGAATTTCAATTTTATGCAAAAACTTCCAAAAATTAAAAAAAAGAATAAATATCCCTTTACAAGTATGATTCTTCTACTTTTTAAATGTTTGTTAAAGACTTTTTTTTATAAGAAGATAGTTTATTCATCATGTGCAATATGACAAAAATCTTTTGATCTTTTTATATACCGATTATTAGAAATTTCTCACAGATACATACCTTGCCAGAAAGGAGGACGCTGCTGTAGAGAAAACGGGGCAACCTGTAATTACAATGACGGAAAGGCTACCGGTAATTAAGATAAATTGATTCCTTTTCATTGTTTCCATTTTTCATTGTACGAATTACAAAAAAACTCGAATGCTGTTTTCACTCGAAATAATGCTTTTCAGATGTTACATGCACACTGTAAGCGTGCAAATTTGATCAGGTCTGTAGTGGTTGTAAAAATATTTTGCATTGAAACCGAAGTCAATGCGAATAATAGTAAATGTAATTATTTATAGTTTATTTTTATAATTTAAAAAAAAAATTATAGTATTATCAGTTATCATAAATAATTTTCCCCTACTTTTCTATAAGTATAAAATGTTTAGGTAAGCTTATTAAAAAAGAATCATTAAATTCATATCTAACTGGGAACTTCTCCTTAATAATTGTCCCTTCTTTAACTCTTGCAGACGTGGGCAAAATAGACAAAAAAAGAATTAGCCCCTATAAATTAAAAATCCAAGCTTAACATATCTGTTGTTTTATTTTATTACCTGTGGGAATCGTACATCTCTTACAGGTGTGTAGATCTTTTTGAATCTTTGTGACAACACCTGTAAATGAAACATAACGTGAATATCTATTTTTGCCTAACGACTGTTTCATTGTTGGGAAAAAATCTCGTCTTTTCTGCACAGAGTCGAATGAAATTTTTTCATCTGGGCTGATTTCACAAAATCAAAATCAGCTCAGATAAAGGAATTGATCATAATAATGTCGATACACGTAGCTTAATTTACGTAATGTGATTCTAACTCATTAACATATACTATTTAATTGATTTTACTTAAACGTTACTTTTTTGATATGGTCATGTAATATAATAATGTGTCTAATTGTCTTATATTGTAATTACTGTTAATTTAAAACATGTAACGGAGAAAGTACTGTAGTCGCTGAATCTGATTTGATGTAAAAATCAGAGCAAAGATAAAACAGTGATAGTTCGTAGTGAGGAACTTATATTCATGCTTGCTTTAATACGAGCACTAATTTTGATTCAAAGCATACACGGAGACCACAAAAGGGTGCAGAAATAGGGCGCTTTTTCGAATTTTTTAAATTGTTTTTTAAACTTCGGTTAACACTAACCCTGACTATTTTCATTAACATAGGCAAAGGGGAATTGATATTATACCGTCTTCCTCACTAATATACGTGTAATTGTTAAACCTAAGCCAAACTAAGATGTCAAATAATGATATTTGATTTCAATCTGCCATATTTCAAAATACAATTCATAAATTGATTGACAAAAACATAGGATTTATTGGGGAACAGTATTTATTGAATATGAGCTAATAGTTGTATTTTAACATATATAAACATTCGAAACATATTTCTACATTCCTAATGTATTTTTTTTTTTCGAAGTAAACAACCATTTGACAAAAGTTGTAAACATTTTTGCTTTAATTATCTTTTTTTTATCTAATACTAACAGATTTTCAACATTGTTTTATGTTAATGTAAATTGATTACTGTTGACTGTGTTTGAAATAATTTTTGGCTGAAAAAACTCTTTTTTATAGAAATTTAAAATAGATCTTTATCAAACTTACCACAGATAAAATAATACAGAGAAAGAGTAATCGAAACATTGTAATAACCACAGATGACACAGATCTAAACAGTGAAATAGAGAGTGAGTGGTCTATAAACCTGAACCATTCTGTTTTATAGTTTGATTAAAATCTACAGAAGTGAAGGTCAACGTGCCTTAATTTGTCTTCATTGAGAAGTAATTCATTAATTCATTAATCTTAGGTGACTGGCATGCCCTTACTTCTCATATAACCCCCTTTAAAAAAAAGGTAAAACATTCTATTTCTATTTCATGTACTTGAATTATTTACGTTTTGAACAGTCTGAAACAATCCTTGTTACTTTTATTACTACAATGATTATACTTTTTCTTAATTCCCGAGCAGTCAATAGACCAGAATAAATCTTTAAGTTCCATTTTAATCGAAAAGGCAGCTGTCAATGCTTTCGAAAAGCCTGAACTTTAATTTATCGTGGGAATTGTTGTATGCAAAGTTGAAAAGTCGTAAGATCTTAGACTGTTGATTTTGGAAAAATCATGTGAATTTCAAATGGTCCAAACGTTCTTTCGAATTTTAACTTAATTCAATCTGATTTACACCACTTCTAGAATATATTGTTGCACAGTAATCTTGGAGTTTTTCTTTCACTACTGTTAATATCTTAGTAAAGACTAAAGGAAGAGGCTTGGTTGAACATCTACTGGAACCTGCTATTTATCTTTCTTTATAAGGATTCTCATGAAGATTCGGAATCCAGTATTTATATGATAGTTCAAAGTCCTTTTGATTCTTTGGGATATTTAACATATTCAAAACTGACATATGACTTTGAAGAATTTACTCCTTAGAATAGGACTATGAGTATAAGTTGGATTACCAGTTGTAGGATTAAATTTCAAGTTCTTCTTGAGTACAATTTTTATAATGAGCCTTACAAACAAAGACATTGTTGTTACCTGCTTTGTCAGCAGGGACCAATACGTACTAATCTGATCATACTAACTATTAGTTCTTTTTCAACTTCTAGACTTTTGAATACAGGATAGTTGGATTTCATATTGCCTCTCAGACTTTTCATACAAGATTTAATCATGGATCAGATACATTTAATCTATTCTGACAAAGTATCAAAATCTTTTTCATATCTGGCCCATCGCATGTCGTGATCTTCAACGAAATTTATATTATTCATGAATTTCATCACCAATTGAAGGATCGGGATACCCTATATTTAGGACCGTTTAAAATAAGTGATCTAAGGTCCTTAGTATTAACTCTATTTACGACAGCTGATATAACGTGATCAGCGGGACCATAGGTAAGAAGTAGATTTAACTGTGCATTTACGTAAGGTAGTAATAAATCAAAAAAGACGTCATGTATTAAAAGTTTATTGTAAGACCGATACCCAAGACAACTCTTACGTCTCTATGTATGGTTAAAAAGTCCCATCAGAAAGATTTCTAACACTATCGACATTACATACATAGGGAAGGGTTGTCCCTATTTTTCTAATCCAAACCTCTTTTCCTTGTCTACGGGAAGGTGTACTCAGTTAGGGGCTTTCTGTGTGGTAATAAATCTTTTTTTGAGAACTCCAAATTTCCCTGAGAAAACAGAATGATCAGGTAAATTAAAATGTTTGTAGAATAGCTGCCGACCACCATGATTTAGTTGAAATTGTTGACCTGATATTCTTTTATTAAATGCTCCATTGGCTTCTCCAACATAAACAAGTTCATACAGATTACATTCTATTCCGAAGACAACATTAGAAGATAAGCAGGTAAAATTTTCTCAAGATTTGGTATAGAAGCTTTGTCCATTATGATCACTGGTGAAAAAAGTGTTAGTTATCAAAATATCAAAGGTTTTACAGTTTTTTTTTTACAGATTCTGAACATTGTGAAACAGAAGGCATAAGTTTGAAAAAGGAATCTTGAAATACATCTGGAAAAAAGACCTTAAATTCTTTCATTTTTATATGTTATTTGATTAATACCAAAAGTGGGAATATGAAGATTACATTTTATTCAGTGGTATAAGAGGAGTTGCGGATAAGAAATGGGTATTCTTTAATATTATAGAAAAAATGGCAGTGTCCATGCTTTGTAGAAGACCCAAAATATGTGCCTTATCGAAAAGAGAAATAAAAGGACACAATAGTAATATGTAGCAAAGGTTCTCTGAAAGTCTCATTAAATTCAGTTCAGTGTTCTAAGTACCCCTAAGCGTTAAGATGGACGGACGGACATACAGATGTACATCCTGATTACTTTATAACCTACCGCTTTTCAAGTGTGGAACAAAGATATAAATCAGCTTATTAAGGGCATAATTTAACCAATTTTGCAATTAAGCAATATGTTAAAGTATTGTTGAACATTATTTGTTTATATCCTGGTAATGCAAGCAGGAGGCCCGGATTCGATTGTGTTCTCCTTGCCGTGTCAAAATTAAGGGACTTTTAATGGAGATCTAAATACATTTTCAATCTATACACAGAAATAAATCAAACTTTAAAAAGAGATGACGATAATCATTCAATAAAATCTTGTCAACATAAAAAAGAATTGTCAACAATTAAAAATATTAAAGAACTAAACAAGGTGTAATTGACGCAAGAAAATAAGCTACATATTACATTACAACTTTCTTGAAAGATTTTTATTTTTAAATAAAAGTTATAAACAATTCCTCTTCCAAATAATTTGATTACAGTAGGTGAAAAACTTAAAAGCCATCATCATAATAAAAGCAGTCCCGAAGTAAGGAGTCAATCCCTACGTCGCGAGTTCGAATCCCACTGTGGGACGTGGAGACCGGTCCTTCGGATGAGACAGTATAAACCGAGGCCCCGTGTCGCAGTAGGTGCTGGCACGAAAAAGACCCCTCACTGCTCAAAGGCCCTAAGTGCCGAGCATAGGACAAAATTTGTAGCCCTCCACCGGCAAGTGGTGGCGTCTCCATATGAGTGAAACATTCTCGAGAGGGACGTTAAACAACATACAATCAATCAATCAATCAATCATAATAAAAGCTTTTGCTTAATGTCCATTATCTAAACATCGGTGTCCGCCAAGGTGAAAATTTATCACCTCTCCTGTTTTCTATATATATTAACGATTTAGAAGAGTTTCTCGCCAGCAAAAATGTGCATGGACTATCTTTTAATAACATAAGTAGCTCAAACTCTGAAGAAAATGAAATTTTGTTGTATTTTAAATTATTTATTCTGTTCTATGCTGACGATACAGTTATAATGTCTGAGTCTGCAGAGGGTTTACAACATGCTCTAAATGAGTTTCATTCGTATTGTGTACAATGGAAACTGAACGTCAATGTAGACAAAACAAAAATTATGATTTTTTCGAAAGGTCCATCTGTTAAAAATGTATTTTACTACAATAATTCTGTTATTGAAACTGTGAACGAATTTAAATCCCTAGGTATACTATTTTCCCGATCAAGTTCATTCTGTAAAACTAAAAAACATTTATGTGAGCAAGCTCAAAAAGCCATGGATGGAATTATACGAAAAATTAAACAATTTGATTTACTAGTAGATTGTCAGCTTGATTTGTTCGATAAAGTTGTCACTCCAGTACTTCTGTATGGATGTGAGATATGGGGTTTTGAGAACATTGAAATAATTGAACGCGTTCATCTTAAATTTTTTAAACATATTTTTATTTTTTTATTTCTAAGTACTCCTAGTTATATGGTTTATGGCGAAACGGGTCGCTTCCCTTTGTATATAACAGTGTATTCAAGAATGATATCCTATTGGGCAAAATTATTGGAAAGCCCTGAAATAAGATTGTTTATGCTACATATAGACATTTATTTGAACAGTTTTGTTCAGGATGGCATAAGAACCCTTGGATTTTATGTATTAAGAATATACTTGATCGTTGTGGCTTCTCAAATGTATGGAATGAACAGACCTTTTTAGACATTAAATGGCTAAACGCTATAGTTGAACAACGTCTTAAAGATTAGTACATACAGAAGTGGTGTAGTATTATGCGCAATTCGTCTAAAGGTCTCACTTATAGTATCTTTAAAACAGAATTTGGATTTGAAAAATATTTAGCCTTACTACCAAAAAAAATTTTGATTAAACTAATAACAGCAAATTACCGTCTTCCAGTTGAGACTGGGAGATGGTTTGGAATCCCAAAAATGATAGACTATGTAATCTTTGTAATAATGGGCAAATAGCTGATGAGTATCACTACATTTTAGAATGTAAATATTTTTCCGAATATAGAAAAAAAATTCTTCCTAGTAAATATTGTAATAGACCAAATTTCTTCAAATTCTCAGAATTGTTGTCATCTGCTGACTACAAAGTATAATTAAACTATGCAGTTACATAAATAGAGTATATGAAAAAGTCTGTCCTCCATAATTATTTATGTTACTTTATATGAATGTATTACCGCCATTTCACGTGTATCTTGTATTTTATTTTTTTGTATATATTGTATATATATTGTTGAACCTCAAGTACCATTGATATGGTTTGAGTGAATAAGTTGAATTTGAACTTGAACTTAAATATACGAGGTTTGATCCAGAAGTTTGTGGAAATTCTTCCTATTTAATTTATTCATAAGTGAAATTGCTTGAAAATTACAAATGAGAATATAGACACTTGTTGAATATTTTAAATAAAAAAAATATTTTAAAATTTTTGTGAAAGTACCTCTATGGCAGTTGCCATAGAAACGGCTGTTTGGAAATGCAGGGGAGACATCAACGCGTTTTTTTTTCATCATTTTAATTCTTTATAAATGAAATGAGAAGAAAACCACCCTATGTGTTACCGAAAACGAAAATTATGTCAATATTACGATTGCTTGATCTTTTATAAATATTTTTTGAGAGTTTTACCAATTTTGCTGGATATTTAGTTTATTATAATTTTATGAGTTAATTTATTGTTCATCTCTAGGTTGTTAGACAACGTCAATCCTAACAAAAAATGCTATAATTAACTATTGTTTACTTTAGTTCACTAATGTACCGGTAAATCAAAGTGTCTAAGTTTTCGCCAAAGTTTTTCAAAGTGTCAAAGTTACACCTAAGTTTTTCAAAGTGTCAAAGTTTTCACCAAAGTTTTTTCAAAGTGTCAAAGTTTTCAACAAAGTTTCTCAAAGTGTCAAAGTTTTAGCCAAAGTTTTTCTCAGTGTTAAAGTTTTTGATAAAGTTTTTCAAAGTGTCTAAGTTTTCGATAATGTTTGTTTTTCAAAGTGTCAAAGTTTTCGTCAAAGTTTGTTTTTCAAAGTGTCAAAGTTACACCAAAGTTTTTCAAAGTGTCAAAGTTTTCGCCATAGTTTTTCAAAGTGTCAAAGTTTTTGCCAAAGTTTCTCAAAGTGTCAAAGTTTTAGCCAAAGTTTTTCAAAGTGTTAAAGTTTTTGATCAAGTTTTTCAAAGTATCAGAGTTTTCGATAAAGTTTTTCAATGTGTCAAAGTTTTCGATAATGTTTGTTTTTCAAAGTATCAAAGTTTTTGTCAAAGTTTGTTTTTCAAAGTGTCAAAATTTACGTCAAAGTTTTTCAAAGTGTCAAAGTTATCACTATAGTTAACTATAGTAAACTATAGTTAACTTTAGTATTTCAGACCTGTTTACTCTTCCGAGTTCACCGTATTTTGTACGAATTTTTAGTCTAAAATACGTCTCACGTTTTGCCATTATGAAAATACGGAAATCGGAAATACGTTAGTTTGGAATTTAACAGTTAGTTTTCGTTATGATTTGTCTTAGTTTACCCTATTTATCGGTAAATAATAGAAAGATTTCAAACACATAAGCGATGTCAGGTTGCCAAAACGATGTGGTATTATGAAATAACAAAGGCCTTGTTGTTAAACCATGTTTTTGTAGTCGAAAAAGCAGTTTTTCTCTTCTAATATATGTGAAATTGATGGAAAGTGAAATCTTACTGGCAATTGCCAAACCTCACGTACAAATCTAATAAAAATTACTGAGAGACAGCGTTAGGGGTAAACAGGTCTGGTATTTTTTTGTTAAGGAAATTTCGGTCAAGTCAAACGTTTTGTGAAAATCTCGGAATCGCTGTATCTTAAACGCATATATTATTGACATAGAGTGGGGGAAATGCATTTGATTACTGGTTTTCCAGTTGCGTAAGAAATTTAAGGAAAATAGAACTTTCATAGACGTTGCATAAAGGTGTGGCTGCCTTTTGAGGGTTCTGTTTTAAGTGTTTATCCCCCTTGACAATTTAAACGTGTTAATGGGCGTTGTCAGCTGTTCACGCACTGTTCCAAACATTGCTACTGAAATCGGAACATCATATGGAAAGATGGAGAGTATTTTGATATATGAGTGAAAAATGAAGATCAGTTGGTGCGAAAGTATACCCAGGCTTTTTGTGAGAAAAAAAAATAGAAAAAGGCAGTATTTTGTAGAATTAAGTATTTGATTTGGACATTTGAGTAAAATGCTTCTATAATGTGACGTGACATTTCTTATTTAACCTAACGTTGAAGTCTCCCCCAGGTTTTACAACTATTCATTTTCAGAAAACTCGTGTGGCCTTATTGGTAGATCTAATTGGAACGTGGTGAAATTTTCCAATATTGTTACATGATGACTCTTTATTATTAATATGCCTATTGTCAGCTTTCATCAAATCACGATAAAATTTTAGAAAGAAATTCCACGAACTTTTAAATCAACCCTCGTATATTAGAAAAATAAAATAATTGTTTCATGACATTTCATGTAAAGAAAAAAAGAAGCTAGATTTGTAATTTTACTGCTGAACTGAAAAGTGGTGAGATTGGAAGATTGAAAGTTTGGCGAGTTCAATACATAATAAAATGGCTCGTGGAAACTTTGATGATCTACAAGTATTTACATGTTTCAGTGCTCTTTTATGGAAACGTGGTTATTGGTGAGTTGGAAATTCGACAATTGTCAACAAATAAATATTCCACCTGGCCTGGGGGCCATAGAACTTAGACAAGCTCACTTTGATCTAAGTCTCACTTTTCCCAAAAGACTAACTGCAGAAAAGTGAGACTGAGATCAAATGTGAGATAGTCTAAGTCTTATGGCTCTCAGGCCTGTACACAAAATTAAGACAAGGTTAACAAATGAGATGATTATTTTCATTATAATGAAAGAAACATCTTCCTTCACTTTCCTTTCATTTACAATTGATTTTAAAGGTCTGCATGCTTAAAATTTTAATAGCATTTGACAGAAAATAAAAAAAATTGTTAAACGTCATCAATATGTTTCAATGTCGTCCAAGTTTATTCTCTATTCAGAGAATTAAAATACAGTAATAAAAATCATTAAAATAAAAACCAATGCTAAACGACGTCTGCTTGTGAAAATGAAATGAAAAATAAAATGATTTTTGTAACATTTCTAACAGAATATTTATTTAAAAGAAGAAAACATTAAATTAAGGAGGGGTTCTTGACAGATTTCATACATCTTACAACTAATCGTATTCCGTTCATTCAAGAAGACAATATCATTTAGTTATTGTATCGATTCGATTAAATTTGAACGTTTTATATTGGAGGTAAGGTCATTATCTATTCCGTGGACAATACGAATTAGAAGATAACTGTTGTCGATAAGGCATATGCTATGTCTTCTTCTATTTAACGACGTCCGATCCTGATATTTAAAGTCTTAAACTTTTTTTGCCAAGTATATTTATAGTTTCTACATACAAAGCTTAATTAAAATTCAAATAAAAAAAATGGGGGTCAATATGCTTCTTTTGGCGCATAAAAAAATTAAATATGACCTTTTTGCACTGAACTTTGTGTCTTAATTAAAAATTATTTTTTTTATGTTTTCCCTCCAATATTTTTATCCAATTAAAGCATGAAACAAAATGAACTCTTAGTTTGTTTTAAAAAAGACTCTTAAAAATTGTGACTAAGAAAAGTTTCAAATTGCTTTGCATACTCAATAGCCGATTTCCGGGATGTTCTGTTTGTCACAATCAATATTTAATTTTATTTGCATTTACATTATGTTTATGGTTTTTATTTTATTTACCCTTTACTGGACCTCTATACTTTTGTTACCTTATTGAACCTCAGTTAAGTTTTGCAGGTATTGGTCAGTTACGACCTATTGTATTTTGGGGTATTTAAATCGCTGCATAGCTGACCAGGTAACCAGGGTCCACGTTTTCATAGCTTTTAAATGGTTGACATACAGTCCAAGATGAGTGGCTAAATTTTTTCTTTCAACGGTAACCATTTCTCCAAAGGGGTAAGTTTGTTTTTTATTTCATATGTAAGTTTTGAGTAATACATTTAAAACGTAGAACTATTTAAGAACTTGAGTTAATTAATGTTTTTGTTACTATTTACGTATACAGGTTTTGCTGGGTAGAGTTACTCATGCGTTTATTGTTCTATTTTTGTGCAATGTACTGAGTTATATACGCACGTAGGCTATTTTGTTTTGCCGCTTATAAAGTCGGTGTTGTGGGTTTAATAGTTAAAACCACTTTTGTTAAGATGTTGTGTATTCTTAACGTTTTTCTTATTATAATAGTGTTCGGTTAAAATTACCGGGTCTGATTGTATGGTGTGCCATTAGTGCAATTGTAGTCAATGGTGACTTGAGTTTTCCTTTTGTATACGTGGCTTGTGACTTAAAAAATGTTATTTAATTCAAAGGTTCCTGATGTTATCCAATGTTAATCTATCCATGTGTGTGTTGGCAATGAACTTACCAGACCGGGATACCCACTGGGAGCCAGTTGGCGGGAGTCCGTCGTGAAACGGGTCGTGTCTGGATAGACGTGGTTTAGAGTCAACGATATTGAGGATTAATAAAGACTTTAATTTCTGTGTATTGTAAATAATAGCTGTAAAATATGTTGTAAATATTGTTTTTATTGATTTTATTTATAGATAAAAAAAAATTGTAAATAGAAAAAAAATCTTGTTATATCTGACTGGACAGAGCACGACGGCTGTCGTGACAAATTGGTGTCAGAAGTGGGATTAGTCTGTTCAGTCAGGAGTATTTTTGTATATTACACTTATGTTTTTTTTTCTTTAATCATTTTTGTTGTATTTTGCAGTCAAAGAGTTTGTAGATTTTTGACAGTCTCAGGGTGTGAGTACTTGGTTTATTGATGGAGCCCCAAATGGAGAAAGCTAGGTTACCGTTGCTTTGTTTCGTATGAATTGAGTTTGTATACTTAATTTATCTGTTGAGATACAAGTATACACATTTTTGAGAAAGATTTTTCACATTTCATTTTGTTTTGAAAATCAATGTTGTTCTACTGGATTGTAGTAATATTTTTCATATTTAGTCAGTTAGTGTTAAGTTCTATTACAATGTCGACATTGAAAGAACTTGCAGAATATGGACAGAGTCTGAACTTGACTGGTGCGGACTTGCAGCAGTTTGTACAGCAACAACAGGCACATCAGCGTGAGCTACGAGCGGCGGAAAGGGAGAAAGAGAAGCAGGACAGGGAGTATCATCTCAGTAGAGAAGCACTTGAAATTGAGAAACTCAAACTACAGGAAAAGAAAGGTATGGAAGAGATTGAGAGTAAATTCATGCAAACTATTCAAACCTTAGAGCAAAAGTTAGCTGTAAAGGAGTCAGAAACGAAATCAGAAAATCCTAGTAATGCAAAGTTTCCAAAAATGCCTGTATTCGATGAAGTTAAGGATGATATTGATTCTTATTTGAGACGTTTTGAAAGGTACGCTGCAGCACAGAAATGGAAGTTTGACAGTTGGGCTGTTAACTTGAGCGCACTACTCAGAGGTCGTGCACTGGATGTGTATGCACTGTTGCCGCAGGAGAAAGCGTTGGACTATGATGCTTTGAAGACGGCGTTACTAAAAAGGTTTGAAAAGACGGAGGATGGATTTCGTCAAAAGTTCCGTAAGAGCAGACCTGAGGTAGGGGAAACTTTTTCACAGTTTGTTGTTCGTCTCGGTAGTTATCTCGATAGGTGGATTGAACTTGGTCGAGTTAACAAGACTTTTGATGGCCTCTACGATATGATACTCAGAGATCAGTTTCTGTTCATGTGTAACAAAGAATTGACATTGTTTTTGAAAGAACGCATACCGAAAAACATCAGAGAAATGTGTGATTTAGCAGATCAGTTTAGAGAGGCAAGGCATGTTAACATTCAGACATTAGTTCATTTTAGCAAGAAAGAGAACTCTCCAGGAAAAAGTCAGGCATCGAGAGAACAGGAACAGCGAGATCAGAAGCCAGGATTGAAGTTTCAACCCATGAAAACTCCAATGAAGAAAGAAGTTCGTTGCTTCAAATGTGACAGACTGGGCCACATAGCATCTCAGTGCCACCAGACTCAGAAGAATCGGAACTCAGTGAATGTTGTCGTCGATCGTACAGAAAAGGAATCTACGGCAAAGAACTCAGAATTACAAGGCAAGTGTGGAACTTTTACTTCCTTTACAAACACATCAACATTTTCGATGGCGTCAAATTCAATGGACCTTGTAAACACTTCATCGTGTAACGTTAGTGCATCTCTTGAAGATATGCCTACCTGTAAGGGCAAGTTAAATGAACATTTTGTGACAGTGCTTAGAGACACTGGTTGTAACGGTGTTGTAGTTCGTAGGGATTTGATAGATGATGTTCAGCTTACGGGAAATCATCGAATTTGTGTTCTGGCGGATGGATCTAGGATTCAGGCACCTGTTGCGCGAGTGAAAATAGACACTCCTTACTTTGTGGGTGAAATAGACGCTTGGTGTTTAGAAAATCCATTGTATTCCTTGATCATAGGGAACATCCCCAACGCAAGAGATCCAAAGGATCCGGATAGAAACTGGACACCTTATCAAGCGCATGCAGTAGTGACAAGGCAACAAGCTCAAAAGGAAGGTAAGAAGACTAAATCTCTTCATGTTCCAGATATTATTGACGCTGAGATATGTCCTGACGACATCAAGGCAGCACAGGAGAAAGACGAGACGTTAGCCAAGATACGCTCTTTGGTAGGACAAGACGACGACTCCAAGGTATCTTACATTAGTAAAAAAGGTATCATTTATCGTGTCTTCCAGTCAGATAAACATCAGAATGGTAAACGTTTTACACAGCTAGTTGTTCCAAAGAAATATAGGACTAAAGTTCTTTCGCTTGCTCATGAATCTATTATGACAGGTCACCTAGGTACTTCCAGGACAGCCAGCAAAGTCCTTGCAGAATTTTATTGGCCGGGAGTTCAAGCGGACGTACGTCGATTCTGCAGATCATGCGACATTTGTCAACGTACCACTCCGAAAGGCAGGACTACAAAGGTACCACTCGGAGATATGCCTATTATTGAGGTACCGTTCAGACGTGTAGCTGTCGATTTGGTAGGACCTATCCAGCCAGCAACCAGTAAGGGTAATCGTTACATTTTGACTATTGTTGACTTTGCTACCCGTTACCCAGAGGCAATTGCTTTAAAAGGAATTGACACTGAACGAGTCGCTGAGGCTCTGGTAGATGTATTTTGTAGAGTAGGAGTACCGAAGGAAATGCTCACGGATATGGGGTCACAATTTACATCCGAGCTGATGACAGAGGTTAGTCGTTTACTTTCTATACGACAGTTAACAACGACACCGTACCACCCCATGTGCAATGGACTGGTCGAGCGGTTCAACGGTACATTGAAGCAGATACTCCGACGGTTATGTGCGGAACGTCCTACTGATTGGGATAAGTATCTATCAGCCTCATTGTTTGCTTACCGTGATGCACCACAGGAGAGTCTAGGATTCTCACCGTTTGAACTGGTTTACGGACACGAAGTTAGAGGACCTATGAAGATTTTGAGGGGGTTGTGGACTAAAGAAGTAGCAGATTCAGAGGTTAGAACTACATACCAGTATGTTGTTGATTTGAAGGAACGACTAGAAGCTACGTGCAGATTAGCGAGAGAGAATCTACAAAAGTCGTCAGAGAAATACCGGAAGTATTATAACAAGGGAGCACGGAACAGACAAATGTCAAAAGGTGAGAAAGTTCTTATTCTTTTACCAACTGCCAGTAACAAATTACAAATGCAATGGAAAGGTCCATATGAAATTATAGAGAGACTAGGAAAAGTTGATTACAGAATTAACGTGAATGGAAAAATCAAAACATTTCATGCAAATATGTTGAAGTTGTACATTGACAGAGCAAACGAGAGTAATGATGAGACAGGTGTTCTAGGTGTTGTAGGCGCCGCAGTACTCGATCTAGATGATGATGGAGAGAGCGACGATGAGCTGTTGTGTGATTCTCTAGGAGAAACGAAAAATGAGGGACCGGCAGATGTGAAAGTAAGTGATGAACTAACTGAGAATGAAAAAGCAGAAGTCAAGACATTACTAGAGAATTTTTCAGATGTTTTATCAGATGTACCTGGTTTGACGAATCTCGGAGTTCATCATATCAAGTTGACTAGTGACCAGCCTATTCGCACCAAACCTTATCCTCTGCCGTTTACTTCAAAAGACGTTGTTTGTGACGAGGTAAGAAAGATGGTGGAAGCCGAAGTGATCGAGCCTTCGACGAGTCCATACAGTTCCCCGATAGTCATCGTGAAAAAGAAGGACGGTTCGAACAGGCTTTGTATCGATTTTCGTGCAATTAATAAAGTAACTGTTTTCGATGCAGAAACCATTCCAAGTGCTGATGATATTTATGTACAATTATCTGGCTGTAAATATGTGTCCAAATTTGATCTATCTAAGGGATACTGGCAGTTACCTTTGGATGATGCAGCGAAGGAGATCACCGCTTTCCAAACGCCACTTGGTTTGTTTCAATTCAGGGTGATGCCCTTTGGCTTGATAAACGCTTCCGCAAGTTTCAGTCGCCTGATGCGTAAGCTCTTAGACGGAATGCAGTGAGTGGATAACTTTATAGACGATGTGATTGTGTACACTCGAACATTTCAGGAACATGTTAATGTAATTCGGGAACTTCTGCTAAGACTTCGTGCTGCGAATTTGACTGTGAAACCAAGTAAGTGTTTTATTGGTTACCGGAGTCTTGAGTGTCTCGGACATATTGCAGGAAATGAAGAACTTAGACCTCTTCCTGACAAAGTTTCCGCCATTCACAACTTTACCCAACCTTCAACGAAGAAGCAAGTGCGATCATTTTTAGGTCTGGTAGGATTCTATCGTAAATTCATTCCGAATTTTTCAGCTATTGCTTCGCCTTTATCAGATCTTACCAAGAAAGGCCAGCCGAACAAAGTGATTTGGAAAGAGCCACAAGAAAATGCATTCATCACTCTCAAGAACGCTTTAACGGTAACACCAGTTCTAAAACTACCTGATTAAAATGAAAGCTTTGTTTTACAGACAGATGCGTCAGATCGTGGTGTTGGGGCAGTTTTGATGCAGTACGAAGATGGTGTGAAGAAACCTGTCGCATACGCTAGCAAGAAACTTTCCAAATGTCAGGTAAATTACTCTACAATCGAGAAAGAGTGCTATGCGATAATTTGGGCAGTTCAAAAGTTCCGCAGGTATTTGTATGGTAAGGAATTCCTACTAGAGACAGATCATCAACCACTAGTATATCTTACCAAAGCCAAGGTGTCTAATGCACGTCTGATGCGCTGGGCATTACTTCTGCAACCATACAGGTTTCGCATTATTTCCATCAAGGGTTCTGAAAATGTAGGAGCTGATTGTCTTAGCAGAATTTAGATATGTATATAATTATATATAGTCGATTTTATGCTATAATTGATTGTGTTTTTTTTCAAAAGTTCGTTGAACTTTCTTATGTTGGGGAGATATTGTCACAATCAATATTTAATTTTATTTGCATTTACATTATGTTTATGGTTTTTATTTTATTTACCCTTTACTGGACCTCTATACTTTTGTTACCTTATTGAACCTCAGTTAAGTTTTGCAGGTATTGGTCAGTTACGACCTATTGTATTTTGGGGTATTTAAATCGCTGCATAGCTGACCAGGTAACCAGGGTCCACGTTTTCATAGCTTTTAAATGGTTGACATACAGTCCAAGATGAGTGGCTAAATTTTTTCTTTCAACGGTAACCATTTCTCCAAAGGGGTAAGTTTGTTTTTTATTTCATATGTAAGTTTTGAGTAATACATTTAAAACGTAGAACTATTTAAGAACTTGAGTTAATTAATGTTTTTGTTACTATTTACGTATACAGGTTTTGCTGGGTAGAGTTACTCATGCGTTTATTGTTCTATTTTTGTGCAATGTACTGAGTTATATACGCACGTAGGCTATTTTGTTTTGCCGCTTATAAAGTCGGTGTTGTGGGTTTAATAGTTAAAACCACTTTTGTTAAGATGTTGTGTATTCTTAACGTTTTTCTTATTATAATAGTGTTCGGTTAAAATTACCGGGTCTGATTGTATGGTGTGCCATTAGTGCAATTGTAGTCAATGGTGACTTGAGTTTTCCTTTTGTATACGTGGCTTGTGACTTAAAAAAATGTTATTTAATTCAAAGGTTCCTGATGTTATCCAATGTTAATCTATCCATGTGTGTGTTGGCAATGAACTTACCAGACCGGGATACCCACTGGGAGCCAGTTGGCGGGAGTCCGTCGTGAAACGGGTCGTGTCTGGATAGACGTGGTTTAGAGTCAACGATATTGAGGATTAATAAAGACTTTAATTTCTGTGTATTGTAAATAATAGCTGTAAAATATGTTGTAAATATTGTTTTTATTGATTTTATTTATAGATAAAAAAAAATTGTAAATAGAAAAAAAATCTTGTTATATCTGACTGGACAGAGCACGACGGCTGTCGTGACACTGTTATACCGTTTTGGTTTTTATTTTTCGCACGGCAGTCACGTGACGATGCTGATTTGTTAGGCATTTTAGCTCGCATTTTCTCTATGATATTGTAATGGATACACAAAAGATTTCAAAGTACTGGTGTGTCGTACCAGGCTGTACGTCAGACGGACGTAAAAAGCGGAACCTGGAAAAGTATCCAGCTATGGAAGGAGTTGATTTTTTCCCGTTTCCGACCCGTCTAAAGAACAACACAATTAGAAAGAGGTGGATCTCTCAGGTATGTTTTGTTTTTGCGAAAGCAAGCTAGGATACTCGATTTTTGAAGCATAAAAACTTCCAAACAGTTTTTTAATAAAACTTAGCAAACATATATTGTCAGTAATCTAGATGTTCGTTGATGTAGACATGAGAAACAGTCAACATGGTCAATCCGAATTTTCTCCATGATGATGAGCTATTAAAACAAAGATTTTATTCAGATTAATAGAGAGAATTTTGAACCAAAACGACATCATCGGGTGTGCTCCAATCATTTTGTTGACGGAAGACCTACCGAGTGTAATCCAGTCCCAACATTGTTTCCAAGAAATAATTTCATGCGCCCATTGAAGGAGAGACCACAGAATGCTGTTGAAAAAAGAAGCAACTTCACCTCTGTTCAACCTGATAAATTTCAAGATAATGAAACACTTGGGCTTGAACTCTTTAATGCACCACCAGTTGCAGCAGAAGTTGTTGTAACTGCAGTTCTTGAAGGTAAAATTAAAATATAATGTTTTGGATATTTTGATACCCATGCAGAAAATCTCTTACATGGAGTTATGTTAAAAATAATTTTCATGTAAAATTTATAAATCAAAATACACATGTTACTATAGGTTTATGGTATTGATTTTTTGTATATTTTATATTGTCAAAGGTGAAACAGCTCCTCAGGTTCAATCCAGAAAGTTGCCAGGAATAGCAGCTAAGTCCAGTACGGCTACATTTATAAAATTTTGTAATATTAATGTGTTTATAACAAAGCTTGATTTAATATAATACCGTATATGGTGGCATATTTCTGTCCCCCCTCTTGTCAGTTATTTATGTTGACTTGTCAGATCTTTTTTCTGTATTAAAAAAAATAAACATGAAAATGTGACCATGCCCAGTTTCGGTCAGCAGTTGACATCATATTTCTCTGGAAAGATGACTTAAGTATTAGACAAGTCAGCATAAAGATCTGACAAATCAAAATAAAGATCTGACAAGTCAACATAAAGATCTGACAAGTAGACATAATTTTCTACAAGTTAACATCTTTATCTGACAAGTTTTCATAACATCTGACAAGCCGACTTGGCAGAAAGTTATGTCAACTTGTTAGATGATGATGTCAACTTGTTAGTAAATATATTTATTTGTTGGAAAATAACATTTTGTCATATATTATGATGACAAGTAGATATAAGATGGCTTTGTCATGCTGAAATAATCAAGACAAGTCGACCAATTTTCCAGATAAGTTGATATACATGTATAGTCAAACTAGGCTGTAATGAAGTCACTGGGACCTATGAAATTACTTCGTTATATCCGTAATTTGTTATATCTGTATAAGGAATTTATTAAATTTATTATGTAGTTAGGAATCCCAAGATAAAATAAAAATGTAAATATTATTTTTACTCTGTTTTCTACTTTCATTTTTTAAAATATGTCTGTACATATGTTTCTACAGGACCACAATGTAATCTAGCAATATGTACTCATCGTGCTTTCCTGTCTGAATAAAAGAACTTAATTTTATAACTTAGCTATATCCGTGAATTCGCAATATCCGTGTTCGTACTAAACAAGTCTTACTGTAAATATCTGACGAGTCAACATAAACATCTGACAAATCAACAAAAGAATCTGATGGTAGAAATATGCCATCATTAAAATGTTTAAAAATACTAATTATATCTATATATTGTTATACCTTTACATTTGTTATCTGATATTTAATCTTGAGCTGCTGCTGAGCAATTCTTAATATGTGATATTACTCGAAAATTTCTGTCTTATTAAATTATTTTATTTTCAATGGTTTTAATTTGAACATTGATGCAACAAAATCCAATGCACTTTATTCACTCAGTTTATTTCATTACAGGTGTCGTGAATCATGATCATTCATACATGTCCAAAGAAAAAAGCTTGGATAGACCTGAACCTGTTGAAATGTCCACACAAACGGATCTTACAGGAGAAGACATTGAACTCTTGCGGCGGCAGACCACAGAGATGAAAGCAAAACTGGCTGACAAAGAAACATTGATACGAGACTGTTTCTTGGAAAATGTCGTCAAGTCTGATCAATCAGTAAAACATTACACAGGATTACCAAGTAAACCTATTTTGGATGGATTGTTTTCATCAATAGAAGCAGACAAATGCAAACTCAAATACTGGGCAGGGAAAAAATCTGTTGGTGAAATGAAATATGAAGAGGAAGGAAACAAACCAGGACCCAAACGGAAGCTCAGTCCCTACGAGGAATTCATTTTAACTCTTGTCAGATTACGACTTGGAATTGTAGGATTTGTTCTTGCAGATTTATTTGGTGTTTCAAAGAGCAGAGTTTCACAAATTTTTACCACCTGGATATCATATATGCATGATGTTTTTAGTCCACTTACTAAATGGCAGTCTAGAGAAAAAAATATCAAATACATGCCAAAATCGTTCAAGAAATCATTTCCCAGGACTTGTGCTATTATAGACTGCACCGAATTTTTTGTTCAGAGGCCAAAAACTCCTACTTGTCAGTCAGCAACCTACAGCTCTTACAAACATCATAACACATTCAAATGTTTAGTGAGCATTACCCCTTCCGGTGCATTTAACTATATTTCAGACTTATGGGCCGGGAATGTATCCGATAGATATATTACTGAGAATAGTTCTTTTTTGGATAATATAGAGCCATACGATGAAGTTATGGCTGATCGTGGCTTTAACATTGGGGACCTTTTGACCTTGAGAAGAGCGACTCTGAATATTCCTCCTTTTACTCACAAGTGTCTTTGGGGTAAAGGAAAACGTTTGAATGCCAATGAAATAAGGAAAACTAGAAAAATAGCAAATTTAAGAATTCATGTAGAGAGAGCAATACAAAGACTAAAGTGTTTCAAACTACTTTCAAATATTATTCCATTGAAATTAAAACCTATTTGTAATCAAATGTTAAAAGTTGCTGCATTTTTATGCAACATTGACAAACCTCTTGTTAAAAACTAGTTCTGCATACTTATAACAATGTAGATGTATGTGCCTGTCCATTAATGATTACCAGGTCTTGGGATTTTAATGAATAAGTCAGTGATGTTGTTAATGTCCGAATTCGTATACATTTAAAGTTACTTGTTTATAGAGCTTAATTAAATAATGCACCATCTGACAGCTTGTTCACAGATTTTTTTTTCAGAATGATTGATGCATTCAATTCATGATTTTTTTTCAATAACAAGTCTTCTGACGCACACTTGCAAATTTGGATATGGGCAATGTAGTTGTATATTTTCAATTCTTCCAATTTATTTTAGATAGAGAGAAATTTTAAGTATAATTTTTTTATCATAGATATCAAATTTTCATGCTAGTTGGTTGTAATTTTCCATTGATGAAGCTTTTTTATTAATTTGCACGAGTAAACATAAGTTAAATAATGTATAAAATACAACAAACTACAAGTTACTGTGTATTAATTTTTCATTTGTAATTTTTTTTAAGAGCAGGAATTACATATTTATTGAAGAAAAAATTTGATTTGGATACAATCAATTGAAATAAAGTATTGTCAAAAGAAATTCTGTCTACAGATATTCCTTTCTGCGTGTAAAAGACAAAGTCACACCATTTTCTGTCACAAACCCCAAGCTGGGTCTGAATTTGATAATACCAAGATGTGTTTGTTTTCAGCTTAACATTGTTATTGTCGTCCATATAAACAAAATAATTTTTGTCCTTTGCAGCAACTTCTTCTGGTGATAAATCTTTGTGTGTATATGTGCACTTTATCTCAAGAAGTCCATTCCCACAGCATTTGCATTGCACAAGTCCATCTGGTGATGCACCCATGTAAGGATATTGCTTGGACACATGTAATCCACTTTCAACAACTTGGGCTTTCATGTGCTCTGTTTTATATTCTTCCTGGTATAAAAGTCGAGCAATCGTTTCATGATCTTTTCCATACTTAATTGCAGGAGTTGAAAGGGGTACAGAGCTGGAGTTAATAATTTTTTTTACAATATAATTGTCTTCTTTGTTTGAATCTCTAAAGTGACAAACAGAAAATACAATATAGGCAGTGATTCTGCCTTCACGATACTTGAACCATTCAATACAATTTCCTTGACCCTTTGTTAATATTTCTATTTTTCTAATCAAATCTGAATTACATTTGCTTTTCAAAAAAGTAAGAAAATCTGTTTCATCATTCTCTCTTATAAATTCACTCATAAAGTTTGCCATGTCTGGTGGCTGTTCATCCTTTATTTCCTCATCACTGTCATCTGAAGGAGGGTCGAGCACATGTAACAATAAAGAATTGGATCCTTTACACAATCTATACAAATGACATTCTACATCTCGCAAGGATTGATCATGAATTGTAGATGAGTGGAAAGTTGCAGAAGTAGGTGCAATGTAAGGATTATTTTTATTGTATCTAATGTCAAGGTCATCAATTTTTGTGGGAACTGACACTTTTCTAGGTACATCCCAAATGCACGGGCGATCTGTTCCTACTTGTGTATTCCTGTCCATGTGGCGGGTGCAAAAATCAGCCAAGGAAAAGAGTAAAGCTGTGCAGTGTTTACACGTTCCATCGTCCCTAAAAATTATCATATCTGCATTAAAATGAAGTGTGTATATTTGCCAATACATCTTTAGTTCTTTACAAATTAACAAAACAATGAAAAAAGACCAGGATTCATTTGCAAAAGCAGTATGCAATAATATTACAGATATCTTATTAAAATTTGGACACGTAGCAGAATAGTCTCCCTTAATAGTTATAAGTAACCCCCACCCACCCCTCTGAAAAAGGTGAGCAATATATTATCCCTTCAAATCTTTAAAGTTAATTATTAATATGAAAAGCAAATTAATGAAAACCATTGCATAATTAATATGCGTAAATGAATAAAGTGTTGTTTAATCGAAATTTCTTAATTGTTAATGCATTAAAAAAAAACTTACGCAACACATGCACATCCTGCAGAAAATACTTGGCCATCTTTTTTCTGTAGTAACCATGTCATATAAGGTTTTTCACTTAAGGTTGTTTCCCTTATACAGGTTGCAGAAACGTAATTGTAATTGGAATTCGGAATTCTGTACATTTGAACATTACTAATGTGTCCATCTTTATAAAGTTTGTAACCGTTGTCTTGTCTGTAATTTTTTAATCTATTATCTGTCCAGCCAGAACCTCGAAGTAAATAAATTAACACATCGCATATTTCCAGACAAGGAAGTTCTTTGAGATCTTTCGTAAAACGACTTATAATGGCCGTTATATCAGGGGCAACTATTTCTTCTCCAGCGAGATTTTGTATGGTGCGCCGCTTCAAGTTCATGACTTTGTAGTCGTCTTTCGCGACAATGACTGGTAACTGTAGTTCAACTGCAACTTCCGCCAACCTGACTAAAGTGTACTTTCTATATTCGTTACAACTGATGCCCCTTTCTCTCAAAAAATTACGTAATTCTGGGACGGTTTTTGCACTGACATGACGATGCTCCTGATCTGCCATATTTGATGCCTAACAAATGATCACGTGACAGCAACTTTTCTACCTCCGCACAAAAGACGATAGGATCTCGGAAATCGGATATTATTTGACCTTTCTGCACTAATAAAAGGTAATATTTCTGGCATTGAAATTTAACAAGCTAGAAAATTATTTTAAAGTCTTAAACTTTTTCTAATTTTAAGCAAGTAGGTCAAATTTATCTTGGATATATAGAAAAGGACATCAAAAGTGGGGGTATATGATGTAAATTTTTCGATATTTCTAAAAAAGTGTCAATTTTACGTTAACATTGGCTCTGTTTTTCCCGGATTTTCAGAATATATATACTATATTTGTCACACTTCGTTGATAAAATTCATACGAAATAATTAAATAGATATTTCAGAACCAGCGTAATACATTTCACTGCAAAAAAGCAGCCATGTGTGCAACCAGCATGGAAAAAAAGGAATCCAAAATTAACAGTACTGTTATAGTTCAAAATGGAAAAGCTGATCATTTTCGTTTAAAAAACCATCCGCCACAAAATATAGTCCCTAGCTTAATTCTACTTGAATGGAATTTAATCGCGGTTTTTTTTTTATTGAATATAGTTGAATTTACACTGTAGAATTCAGATTTAATGTTAGAACTTAAAAATAATGCAGAATTTTAAAAATAAAGAACCTGACCAAAATACGCTCAAAATCGCAGGATCGAACAACCTTAAAAAGAATTTTTTGCATAAAAAAGATATGACTTTATAGAGTTTATGAAATGATATTTCCAAATTTAAAAAACTGAAATAGATATTTGCAATTCTGAATTTTCTCTATTTTCCTATTTTTTCTAGTTTTAAATAAATATTTAATATGTACAAAGAAATAATACAAGGTAAACACTCAATATGATTACATGTAGTATCATTATAATAAAAACAATATTTCTAATTGGATAAGAAAGCGAAGTTTTTTTTTTTTTTTGGGGGGGGGGTTCTTTTACAATGAATTCAAAAAGTCTAATTTGGTTATAAATATTTTTCAGTTAAAATTTTATTCGCATGTGAAAGAAAAATAAGAATTTGTTTAACATCATCAATATGTTTGAATGTCGTCTGAAGTTCCTTTTTTTCTCTACAGCATTTTTTTTTTTTTGTTAAGAAATACCATTTTTTGATTGTGTAGATTTTTTTTTATGTCTTTTGCATTTTAACATTTTGCTTTTGTTGAATATATGCGATGTTATAGCATTAAATAATTTCCATACATGAAAACCAATCACAAATTAAGTATGAGGAAGCGATGGATTTTATTTTCTTTTTTCATAAATGAAATGTATATTATTGATGAATACAAATGTTAAGAGGATGTTATGTGATAGAAACTGTATGTTAAAAGTTGACAGTAGTACAATAGTAGCAAAGAATCATGTGATAGAAACTGCATGTCAAAAGTGGACAATAGTATAATAGTAGCAACGAATTAAAACTTCAATATATGTTAAAACTGCCTTGGAGAGCTTTTTCAGTGGAATTCTAATGAATATTTCATATACACAGGGAATTTAAAGGCAGTGAGATAGAAAACTAATTGTCATCATCATAATAAGGCTTTTGTTTGTGTAAACTCAATGAAAATTAAAGCGATTACAAGTATTACATAACGTCTCTAACAGGATGTTTGTATCAAGAAGAAAAAAACAATATGGACCAGTTTTGTAATTTCACTTGACTAAGAATAAACATTCTGTTGTCCTTTTAGCATAATAGCAAAATGCAAATAGATTGCACTGGTAAAGAATTCATTTAATTGAAATTTAAACTTACTTTGCGTTGACTAAATTATACCCCCGCCTCCTATATGAGTATAGCGGTAAAATAACTGACCCGAAACAAGAGTCAGATCAGGAGGTGCCAATGACTGTAAAAGTATCATTTCATGTTATTCAGTGGTGTAGAAAAAGTTGCAGATGCGAGATTGATACCCTTCAAAATTTAAGCAATCAGACCAACATTTTTGCAATATATAGTATCAAAACTGCAACGATGTGGGAAAACAAATTCGATAGTCCTAATCCTGTTTTAGTTCTGACCAAATTTCTTGCACGAAACTATGATACAATGCTCATATTTACATTTTCTCAACTTCTTTTGACTGCATAAGATATAAATTGAAACCAGATAAGGGGCCGACTGGGGTTCAAATTTCTGAAAACTACAAAAATGAAACTATTAATTTTTATAACATATAACGTTAATGGTAACCTGTTAACAAGGATGTCTGGCTTCAACATTAAATCGTCAACTTCTTTTGAGTATTTATCAATATAGCCTTATCACCTGTATATTATATGTTTCTCAGTTAATTAAATTTGATACGCAAGAACATGCTGTACGTGTCCAAAATGAAGCAAGCTTTTGAAGAACATGGATATCAACGGCTTCGTTTTTGCATTTTTGAGGCACAAGTTCCAAGGTGGTTACATTAAATTATCAGCAAAAACAACCCCCTTTAAGCCTAATGCTGAATGATGTTTTTCATACTAACTGTTAGGCCATAATCTGCATACTGAATTGGCTACCATTTTTTTTTTCACTTTTCCTGATTATAACGAGAAGGATATGGAGATAACGAACAGCATTTAATGTAAAAGTCCATAAAATAATACAAATTAAGAGTAGAGCAAACATCGGCCTTCGAAACATCAGAGGTAGGATTAGGTGCCATGGAGGAGTGAGTATCTCCTGCTGACCGGTCACACCCGCCGTACGCGGGTGCTCATTGTCATGATCGTGAAATAACAGAAAATTCCGTCGTCAAGTCAGTGTATAAATAATGGACTAACAATTGGAATGAAAAACGTCAGTCAGCATTTGACTCTATGATAAATCTCATTTGCTGACAAGGTCATTGTATCGACCATAGAACTTACAAAATTATGACTTTAAACGAGACTGCTGAAATTCTTGTTTCATCAACTTGCTTGTCAATAAATTACCTCGTTTCAGAAATTATTCATACGTAGAGCATGTACTTGCGTATCGAATCAACTGAGATATATATACTCCGTATGCAGGTGATGAAGGTATATTGCTGCATAAATAAAAGGAAGTGTAAATAAAATATATATTAAAATCAATGATTTATCCTTTAGGTAAGTTAAGGGGAGACAGGGAACATGTCACA